TATATATATATATATGTTGATATAAGAGGTATATATAGAGCATGTGAAGGTGTAAACATAAGTAAATAAATCTGAACACATTTTGCACACACATTATCTTCTCTTTCATATACACACATACTATACGTAGTAATGCCATATACACTGGTGTGCCAAAAAGAGTTCAAAGATGTACATGTACATATATACACATAGTAATCGTTTATACACTATATGTGGTATATACAAGACGTACGTACGAATCAGAATATATTGCATACTTTGTAAGACATAATGTATACTGTAGACTACATGTTTTTACTAACGACCATATGGACCATATACTTTGTGTACCTCCATTCTGTAAGATAGAGTATCCACCTATATGTATATATATATAGGTTATAAAGCAAATAGTCTAAAAGCTACATGAAGTACATTGTACATGCAGCGTAGATGTATATATACATATACATATTCTGCTTCCTCCCTTCCTTCCTTCCTTCCTTCCCTTCCCCACCCGCCGGACCAAAAAAAGAGGGCCCAAGCACAAAAAAGCAACACAAAGTGGCTCCCATTTGCCAGTCCGGTCAACAGTCAACCGTGCATCCGGAAGGTGCCACAACACCGCCGTTGTTAAAAGCAGCTGCACTCAGTATAGAGAGCTGTGAAGCGACGATCATCCCCTAAACTTGCTGACACTTGCCTACGCGACCCTCCCTCGGACATAGCTAAAATGCCACAAACTCCAAGCTTTGAGTCCACCCCGAACTTCCTGGGTTTCAGGCCGATGTCTTCGGAACTTGCAGATTCGGTCTCTGCTTTTGGACTCTTTCCACCACCCTGGCCCAGTCGAAGCAGTGCACGGCGAAGTTCAGGCTTTGGCTTCCATCTGTTGCGCGGCCTTACCGCCAGGTCGATTCGAAGGCGCAGTCTCTTTGGTTCTCCGCCGCCTTGGCTGCCCTAGACTAGACAACTCCCTTGGGAGAAGTGTCACATCAACTTCCCCTCCTCTCTGGCTGCCTGCATTCCCGGGCCCAGTTAGAGAGGAACTCACCAGGCTTTGTACGTAGTTAAGCTGAGTTCGTCACGAAGGCGATGCGGGGCTTCGACTCCCGCCCTGGGCGAATATTGGCACATGGGCTGCGCGTCACGTATCCAGCAGATCCGTTCACGGGCAAGCTGATGCAAGGGGTACGCAGTTCCAAGAGCTCGCTTCTCCAAAAGGAAGAGATGCTAGTGTGCAGATGTGTAAAGGTTGTGACCTGGCGTCTCGATGAAACCAATCCAAGCCTCGTCCTCATCAGCGCCATCCTCTTCAAGTTGCTTCGGCAGTGCAAGAGCAAGCACACCGAAACAATGTGCAGGCACTCAGGCCTTGCTGGTCTTGAACCGCTTCAAAAACGCGACGAACAGCTTCGGAAAATCGGATTCCGGAACCTGCAACAGGAAGCCCCGCCATGCTCCAAATGCTACTGCAGGTCTTGCGCAACTTGTCAAGGGAAGCTTCGTGGATGATCGTTGCTAGTAGTCATTGACGATATTATGAAACCAGCCTGGACCGGAGGTTGTCCATGTGCACCAACCGAATGCCAAATTGTTCCCGGTGGCAGCAGCGGCAGCTGAGGCAGGAGCAAGAAAAGCGGGGATGCAGCAGAAGCAGCAACAGGCAAAAGCAGCAACGGCAGGCAAGAGCAAGACAAAAGCAAAAGCACAACTGGCCGCAGCTGCAGCACCACCACCACCATTGACACGGTCACGACCGCCAGCTGCCGACCTATGTGCCCTCGGGACCTCTGCAAAGGGCAAGAAGCGGGGGGTTGCATACAAGTGGCAATATTGAGAGACAGTGCTGGTGGCCAGGGCATGCCCTTGAGTGCGGTCGTCCCTGTGTGGCCGTACATCCATCTGCAAGGCAACAGCCACAGCCTGTCATGAAGTCGGATCACCGCTTGCGCAGATTGCCAAGACACCATACTCCACGGTGGCCAATCCGTTCGAGGATGATCCGACTCACTCTGATTCATTCTGACGCAGGCTTGACTTGCAGTGCTTTGTGAACTTGAGGGTTGCAGTCAGCTGCATCAGACTCAATGACCTGAACCATAGCTCTGTATGGCCGCGTCATTGATCTTTCGGTTTCTGCCCTTGCAAAACTGAGAACACCTCTGGCCTCGGGGCCGGGGTTGAAGCGTTGCATGGCGTGCTGCCGACCTCCACGATCAAGAACACAGCAGAACACAGGCAGGGAGCTACATCAAAAGCAATCGAACTTGGTCACGCACACACATTGGTGTGTACTCAGTACTGTGTCGCAGCTGCCGCTGCGAGCTGCTATGTGTAATTCCTCAATGTCTTCAATGAAACGCTGCATCCCCGGCAGTGTGGAGAAATATACAGGGCCAAACGCATCTGTGAAACACTTGGCCACGTTGATGGTTCATGCTTCATGCTGGACAACACCACTTCATCTTGTGGATACAGCGCTGTCTTTGTGGCTCATGTCGCTATTGACATTCCTAGTCGTCTTCGTTTTATTCCTGTTCAGACAGAACTCAGTCTGGCTACGGCAGAAACAGCAAGAAACATTCCATTAGCCCAGAATACGGACTTGAACGTAGCGATGGTGAACTGAGGGCAGTGCTTGCTTCTGGCAGCTCGCTGAGTCTCTGCCGAGCCATTCGGTCCAGCCTGGCGCAGCGACAAGTCCAAACACGAATTACGTCCTTCGTCAACAGCAAACACCAACGAAACACCCTGCAATAAGACAGCTGTCCTGAGAAAGAGAATCCTGGGGGAAACAGAAGGGCTCAACTGCTGTCGGTCGCCTCCATGTCTGGCAGAACTCCTCTTCGTCGGTCGGAAAAAAGCGCCCGCTGCGATCCTGCGGAAGCGAATCTCTTGAGTTTGTGAGCTTTTTGGCCAGATCCGATCCCGGCTTGTCAAGGCTGAACATCACCTTTCCTCACCTTGCCCATCAAGAAGAGCCCGCCTTGCACTTCGAACGCCCTGCATCAGAACCTGAGGCCCTTGGCACCCCTACCCCTCGACGGAGTATGCTCCAATTGATGGCTCTTAAAGAATAACCCTGGACAGAGTTCGTCCTTGCTCGCTCGCTTGGGCGACTTCTTCGGTTTTGCCGTGGGCGCTTGGATGCCCTGACCGAGCTGCTGATACCAGAAGCGAGTGCTTCTATGGCATCGAAAGACTTGTCCTACTAGCAGGCGACGGTCAGCATAGAAAAAACCTCGGGTGCTAAGTGCTGCTACTGCATGGCCCAGGGTGAATGCACCCACATGAAGCGGGGGGTTGCGCGGGGGGGCCAGGCACATGAGCGGAGAGGAATGCCCATGCAAAGCGCCTCCATCGTGTGCTTGGTGGTGGCCCTGATGAGCCAGTCGTCGTCTTGCTGCATCAACTCGTACCTGGTGAAGCACTTGACGGATGCGGCTTAAGGACATCAACATGGGCCGCACACTCAGTACACAGTACGATTGACGATATTGGCTGGATGCAGGCAACAAACCGAACATTCGAGTGGCCTGAGAGAAGCCTCATGGCAGCAAGTCCCCGACGCTCAACGACACGCGAGAGAGAAGCAACTTGCTTGCATCGGCCGATAATGGCACAAACAAGCTCCCGGTATTAGCCCATCTCTGTTCCGATGCTGAGTCTGGAAGAACGGACCGCTGCTTCTCGGAGTTCGAAGCATCCACGACCTCCAACACGTCCTGCAAAGCTTGCAAAGAATTGTGGGAAAGAGGCACCAAGAGAGCTGTGACTCCACCCCTAATCTATGATGCTGACGCAGTCAGTGCAAGATAGGCAAGCCGGCAAGCCTCAGTCTTTACACCGCCGAAAAGTGGCTCAATCGCCAAAAGGTCGGCGAGCGCCACGAAGCCTGCAGACGGAGTGGCTCCCAGGCAGATCTATGACGTCATGACGAGTCATACTCCATTGCTCCGACGTTTTCGCAAGCTACAATTATCAGACTTCGAAGTCGGTGGACCAGACATGTCAAGCACATTCCCCAGCATCCTGTTAACACCGCGTTGGTGCTCCTCCGTCTGTAATGGGAAGATCGAGCTGTTTGGCTCCATGACGTAGGACATACGACCTGAGCTGAGTGTGTACTAAGCGGGCACTGTTCGAACGCCGCAAGCCTCCTTTCAGGGAGGCGTCGTGACTGCTCCCTCGTTTTTGAGCTGTGCTTCTGTGATTGGGCAGAGATCGCAGAGTTTCCTTTTGAGACTCGCTGGGGGCCCGGCAACTTCTTGCTGAGCACAGTGCGGGAATCATCGGTGTCCCTGCAGGCCGCAGTCGTCTCGACGTGACGTGGTGAAGGACGGCGACCCCGGGCGACTCGGGCTCGGGCCGCACGCGCATCTTCTCCAGCATCTCCGCCAAGACGGCTCCAGACATGGCCTGGTACAGACACTCGGCTTGTTGAGTCGTCCCTCTGTCTCCCACTCCCAGTCATATTTCAGACGAAGCTGCTGACGGTCTGGACCCGCGTAGGAAAAGCTGACGAACTTATCTCGATGAGTGGCTCCAAGTGCACCACGTGAGGTCCAGCCGCCCTGTGGCAGGTAGTTGTCATCTATAGCTGTATCTTTGTGCCGGCATCTCCTATGTTTCTTCTTCCAGTCTTGTGTTGCTGAAGCCCTCGAGCAAGTAAGCCCAACTGCCGCTGTCGGTCAAACTGGAGCTGGACCTATGATTTCTACAAATGCTGAATGCTGTACTTTTCCGGAGATCAGATCAGGATATCCACTGTGCTCCATTCTAAAATAAGGCCGGCACCAAGCATCACAAGTCGAGAAAGGCGTCACTGAAGCTCATCCATGCACACCAGGCACAACGCCCCACAGTCGGACAAATGGCTTGAAGAGCGGGTCTGTTGAACTGCTGCTTGCTTCTGCTTCTGCCGCTACTCGCACCAGCTTTCAGGATACCATGTAGTTCAACTGCGGGAGCTCGAACATAAATCCATCAGCTGCCTACATGTCTGACCCAGATCAGAATATGCAAACTGATGTTGTCGGGCCATTCCTGTCATTCGTACAAGCTTTGAAAAGGGGCTCTGATTAAGCAACTTGACCTGCTGTTTTGAACCCAGTGCTTGCACCGATGGAGCTGTGTTCATGTTCTGCACACCCTGAGCAGCCGACCATCAGAGGGGCACATACAGCTGCCCGACTACGCACGACCTTTTTCGGCTCCATCCCAATTGTGCACGGCTCAAATAAGACTCCACAGCTTCCGGCTAGACAACGGCTTGCGTGGTGCAGACCGCGGCATCATCATGTCTCATAGTGGTAAGTTATCCGAGCTTGCATGACCTCCTGCAGTTATCATGTCAGCGTAGACATTGCAAAGCTTTCTGGCCATACTGGAGGATGCGTTTCGCTGGCACATAGGAGGTCGGGTGACAATGACCAGCAGCACAAAGCTTGAGAGCTTTGCACGCTTGCCGCTGGGACTAGGGTACAACTGGTACAACGGTACGACCAGAACCTGCACAGTAGGAAGCCTGAGTCTCTGAGTGTTGTCGTCTTTCCGATTCTGAGAGCCTATGTACCATTCTCTTTTCACCATAAGCTCAACTTCATGACTCCCACACCAGAAAACCCCTTTTGGCGGCGGCTGCGAGCTCTTCAGCTCTAGGGCCAGGGCTACGTCTGGTATCTGCGACTGCCGAAGGCATTGGGGGCTTGTCGCTTACTTCGAATCAGGACAATGAGGATTGGGGGACCAATGCCCGGCAGTCAGAACTGAAACCACGATGGCCATCAGAGCATTGCATTTCGCCTCCCCGCGCTCCTCAGCCAATGCCCAAAGTGTTCAGATGAATCCGGATAGATGCCGATGAATGTGGATTGTGCTCCATGTCCACTTGACAAGTACTGCTGTCACTGACAGGACCGATAGCACAGTTGCGAAGGCAAAAGAGACCGAATTCGGTCCCGCTGGTGCTGCAGACTAGGTGCTCCGCATCACCGATCACCCCGGTCGGCGGGGGGACCGCCGCCACCCCCGCCACCGCCGCCGCCGCCACCGCCTCTATCCTCAGCATTGTGGTGCTATTCCACTCTCAGTGGAGTTTCGAAAACACAAAAGCGTGCAATCTCGCGACAGCCCAGCACTTAAACTGTCTGGAACTGATTTTAGCCATGACATGGCATCGAAGCTGCAGGGGTCGGCGTTGCAGGGGCCTGGCATGAAGCGACTTGGAGGTAATTCGGTCAAGGCTCGCGTCTGTCGTCACCACCCCGATCCCGACGATCCCGATCTCGATCGCGATCACGGTCCCGATCGCCTGCAGTTGAGGCCCTCACTGCTGTGCGCGGGAGGATTGGTAGCCTGGCCCATCCCCAGAGCTCACTTGAAGGCATTGAGGCCATATATGCTAGACTGGTCAACAAAGTCCTCGAATCGAGCACCTTCAAAAGGCAACCTCCAGACAATGCCAACGTGAATGGGTGCACACCGGTGCATTGAGAGCTTTGCTTTCAGCTGATCTCCCACATGCGGGAGGAGAAAGATGTCACAGCAATCTATCAACAGGTCCACAGATTAACGGCAAGACCAGCCGCCTAGCGACATTTTGTGAAGCCCACGATCCTTTCAAGTATCGTTTGTGGTATCACTAGGCCACTAGGACGCCACAATTTACTAACAGATGACGAGAGGCGATCCCGGTCACCCCCGCCGCGGTCACGTCTGTCCCTGGCCAAGGCTCTTTCTCTCCGCACCATACCGGCCACCCATCGTTAGTCACAGCGACTACAACTGGAACGAGGATGTCAGAGCATGTTCGAAGGCCGTAGCTTTCAGAAGCTGCGAGGCAGAGAAAGCGCTGCCCATAACTCTTTCCGGCCTGTCATGACGGCCGCCTCGCGCCTCATCCCTTCCGCCCCTCTGACGGCTTCGACTTCGATCCCGCTCCTGACAATGCAGTGAAGACACAAGTAACGCATTGAATCGATCGGGCGGTGCTTGAAGACATGGTGCAGTGAGGTGGTAGATGTGTGTGTGTGTG